GCTGACTTCCTCAGTCTGAGCAGTGAGACCAAGCCCAAGCTGATGACACCTGACGCCTTCATGACACCTAGCGCCTCCCTGCAGCAGGTGTGCTGGGGGAGGGGTGTGAGGCTCAGGGCAGGGGGCCTGGGAATGCCCCACCCACAGGCCAAAGCCCTCATTCTCTGCATCTTCCCAGATCACTGCATCCCCCAGTAGTAGCAGCAGCAGCAGTAGCAGCAGCAGCAGCAGCAGCAGCAGCAGCAGCTCCTCTCTTACAGCTGTGTCTGCCATGAGCAGTACCTCAGCTGTGGACCCCTCCTTGCCCAGGTGAAGTGAGGGTCAGAGTTGGGGGATGGCAGCGGCTGGTTCCAAGTGATGCCAAGCTTTGGGTGCTTACTCCTCAGCCTTCCTGCCACCAGGCCACCTGAGGAGCTGACCTTGAGCCCCAAGCTGCAGCTGGATGGCAGTCTGACAGTGAGCAGCAGCAGTAGCCTGCAGGCAAGCCCACGCAGCCTCCTGCCCGGCCTGATCCCAGGTCCAGCTGACAAATTGACTTCCAAAGGACCTGGGCAGGTGTGTGTATAGGTGTGTGTGAAGTACAGAGTAGCAGGTATATGGCAGCAGGAAGGTTGGCAGCAGTTTCCTCCCACAGCACCCTGTCTGCTGGTCCTGCTCTGCCTCAGGTGGTCCATGTTTCCCCTGAGGTCATCTCATCCTCCCATATTCCCTGGAAGGCAGCTTCTCAGCCTCTCCATCCCCACTTCCTCTCCTCTTGGGCTGTGGCCATTTTTTACCTGCATCCCTCTTCCCTACTGTCCCATCTCTCATCACTACAAACACCAGTGCCTCATCTCTGTGCTTCCCCTACCCTGCTGCCTACTACCTAAGTCCCCATCTTTGGCCTACCTCAGGTGCCTGCTGCTGCTGCTGCACTATCCCTGGAGCTGCAGGAAGTGGAGCCCCTGGGGCTAACCCAGGCTTCCCCTAGCCGCACTCGCTCGCCGGATGTTATCTCCTCAGCTTCGACTGCCCTGTCCCAGGACATCCCTGAGATTGCATCTGAGGCCCTGTCCCGTGGCTTTGGCTCCTCTGCTCCTGAGGGCCTTGAGCCAGACAGTATGGCTTCAGCTGCCTCAGCACTGCACCTGCTGTCCCCACGGCCCCGACCAGGGCCTGAGCTTGGCTCCCAGCTTGGCCTAGATGGAAGCCCTGGGGATGGGGATCGGCATAGTACCCCTTCGCTCCTGGAGGCGGCCTTGACCCAGGAGGCCACAGCCCCTGACAGTCAGGTCTGGCCTACAGCACCAGACATTACTCGTGAGACCTGCAGCAGCCTGGCAGAGAGGTGAGGAGCTTGGGAGGGGGAAAGTGTGCTCATGGTAGGGACTTCAGATAGTCATCCACTGCTGAGTCAGCCTGTCTCCCCAGCCCCAGGAATGGCCTCCAGGAAAAGCACAAGAGCCTGGCCTTCCACCGACCACCTTATCACCTGCTGCAGCAACATGACAGCCAGGACGTCAGCGCTGAGCAAAGGTGGGTGCCACCCCACACTGTTCCTCTCACGAGGGTGGGCCAGCAAGTGAGTAGGCACTTATTCTTCTACTTCCCCTTCCCACAGTGACCACGATGATGAGGTAGCCAGCCTTGCCTCTGCTGCAGGGGGCTTTGGCACCAAAGTCCCCACTCCACGGCTGCCTGCCAAGGACTGGAAGACTAAGGGATCCCCTCGGGCCTCACCCAAGCTCAAGAGGAAGGGCAAGAAGGATGATGGGTAGGGGGGTGCTGAGGCTGGGGGGGCGGGGTGGTCCCCAGCCTGCCTGCCTGACATGGCCTGAGGTGCTTCTCACCTATGGCAGGGATTCAGCCATGGGATCTCGGCTCATGGAGCACCAGGTAAGTAAGCAAACACCCTTTCTATTTCTGGGACTCCTCCCTGTAAGGTGGAGAAGGGCTCTGGGCCATTCCCTGGTCTGGTGTGTGGGGATGGGTGGAGCAGGCATCATGTGACTGTTAGTGCTGCTGGCAGGTGGCAGAGCTTCCTGAGGACTGGCCAGCATTAATTTGGCAACAGCAGAGAGAGCTGGCAGAGCTGCGGCACAGCCAAGAAGAGCTGCTGCAGCGTCTGTGCACCCAACTTGAGGGCCTGCAGAGCACTGTCATGGGCCATGTAGAACGTGCCCTAGAGTCACGACACGAGCAGGAGCGTATCCTTGTGGGTGGTGGCACAGCATGGCGTAGTGGTAGGGGAAGCCACAGCATTCTTGGCCCAGGAAGGGACATGGGATCTCCAGGCCTATTCCTTAGCTACAATGCAGAGCGGCGGCTGGAGCGGGCATTGGCTGAGGGGCAGCAGCGGGGTGGGCAGCTGCAGGAGCAGCTGACACAACAGCTGTCCCAGGCACTGTCTTCAGCTATGGCTGGGCGGTTGGAGCGGAGCATACGAGATGAGATCAAGAAGACGGTACCTCCGTGTGAGTTTTATATGGAGACTTCTTCTGGGAGGACAAGGTGGGAGTGGGGAGGTAACCTGTCAAGTTACCTCTCATGGCTCCACCTCTCCTTCCTCACCTGTCCCAGGTGTCTCTAGGAGTCTGGAGCCCGTGGCAGGCCAACTGAGCAACTCAGTGGCCACCAAGCTCACAGCCGTGGAGGGTAGCCTGAAAGAGAATATCTCCAAGCTGCTAAAGTCCAAGGTGCTATTGGGCCCGAGATGAGGGAGGTTGGTGGTTGGTGGGCCTGGTCAGGCCAGCTGGGCTCAGGCTTTCAACTCGGCCCCTCCCTCTACCCCCAGAACTTGACTGACGCCATTGCCCGAGCAGCTGCAGACACATTACAGGGGCCAATGCAGGCTGCCTACCGTGAAGCCTTCCAGAGTGTGGTGCTGCCTGCCTTTGAGAAGAGCTGCCAGGCCATGTTCCAACAGATCAATGATAGCTTCCGACTGGGCACACAGGAATGTGAGTGGAGTCATATGTCCCACTGTGAGAGGAGCTGTCCCCTTTTCCCTCACTGTCCCTCTCATGGCTCCCATGATCACCTCTCAGACTTGCAGCAGCTAGAGAGCCACATGAAGAGCCGGAAGGCACGAGAGCAGGAGGCACGGGAGCCTGTGTTGGCTCAGCTAAGGGGCCTGGTCAGCACACTGCAAGGTGCCACTGAGCAGATGGCAGCCACTGTGTCCAGCAGTGTTCGGGCTGAGGTGCAGCACCAGTTGCACGTGGCTGTGGGCAGGTATGTGGGCAGGGCACTGGGCAAGGTGTGGGTTTGGAAAGGGCCAGACCAGACTCTGTTTACGTCATCTCTCTCACTTCCCTTTGCAGCCTGCAGGAGTCAATTTTAGCACAAGTCCAACGCATTGTTAAGGGTGAGGTGAGTGTAGCACTCAAGGAGCAGCAGGCTGCCGTCACCTCTAGCATCATGCAGGCCATGCGCTCAGCAGCTGGCACTCCTGTCCCTGCTGCCCACCTCGACTGCCAGGCCCAGCAAGCCCATATTCTGCAGCTGCTGCAGCAGGGCCACCTCAATCAGGCCTTCCAGCAGGTATGTGAGGCGTTAGGCCCAGGTAAGGGTCAGATGCCTCCTGACAAGGCCCACACACTGTTCCACATGGGTACATTCCACTCTACCCATCAGGCTCTGCGCAGTCTGGCACTAGTGGAGAGTTCTTAGTTCTCTTTGGCCTCCAGGCCATTTCCCCTGCTTTTCCCTTTCCCTGGACCCCTTTCTTCCTCCCTCAACCCTCCATGCTTCATGACCATCCTCAGGAAATGTTTCTTGATCCCCTAGAGTAGTAACACAGCCCTACAGTGCTCTCTCTGGACCCCTAAGTACCTTACTCTGTGGTCATCCCCTCTCAGGCCACACAGCCCAGACAAGCAGCCATTCTATCCTGACATTAGCTATAAAATGCTATTCTCTACCCAGGCCCTGACAGCTGCTGACCTGAACCTGGTGCTTTACGTGTGTGAAACTGTGGATCCAGGCCAGGTTTTTGGGCAGCCACCCTGCCCACTCTCCCAGCCCGTGCTCCTTTCTCTCATCCAGCAGCTGGCCTCTGACCTTGGCACTCGAACTGACCTCAAGCTCAGGTGAGTAGGCATAGGCAGGGACCAGGAGGCCAGGACACAGGACGGGGTGAAGGTGGGGGAGCAGTTCAAAGCAGAGACTTCCACTCCTGCCTGACTCCCTTCCCTAGTTTACCCTACCATTCCCCTCTGCCCCCACCCATCTCAGGCTTGGCCTCCCTTGACCCTCTGGGCTTCAGTGCCACCAGGGGGCGCTCCCGTCCTCTGGAACCCACTGTAGCGTGTCCCTTTCCTCCACCTGCAGCTACCTGGAAGAGGCTGTGATGCACCTGGACCACAGCGACCCCATCACTCGGGACCACATGGGCTCCGTCATGGCCCAGGTGCGCCAGAAGCTCTTCCAGTTCCTGCAGGCCGAGCCACACAACTCACTTGGCAAAGCGGCCCGGCGTCTCAGCCTCATGCTGCATGGCCTTGTGACCCCCAGCCTCCCTTAGCTAAGCCTGCCTTTCCCAGAGGTGGGATGGCACTGGCGGCCAGCAGACAGGCTTAGGCCAAAGCAGGGTCATGTCTGCCTTTTACCTGCTCAGGCTCCCACCTCTGGGATATTTGAGGGGGGCAGCATTGGCTGTGGTCTACAGGTTGTGGTAGCCAGCAGGCTTAGGCTGGGCCCAGGGTGGGTATTGTGCCTTCTTGGGTTCTGCCATGCCTGGAGCATGACTCTGAGATTGTGACACCACTTGAGGTTGAATTTTCCATGTTCCTTTTTACCTCCAATTTGGATCTTTTTGTTTTTGAAAAACATTGAGAAATTCAATTAAATGCTTTTGGAATAAAATCGAGTAAATGTGTGCTTTTGGTGTGTCTTTGGTGTGACTTTAATTGCTCTCTGTTCCCTGCCTCCTCTCTTCTCCCTGTGTGGAGCTCTGTCTAGGCCAACCTGCCCCAGGGGCCTGGACACCCACCCTCATCTGCACAACTGCCTTCCCAGATCTCTCCTCTCCATTTTCTCGGGCAAGGGCCGTGGGGGTCAGCTCGTCATTACTGGCTGCCCTGGGCTCTTCTTTCTGGAGTCCCTCCACTCTCTTGCCAATCTGAGTATTGGGGGCGGGGCCAAGGGCTTGCTTTGAAGCCCCGCCTCGGGCTCTTATCCAATCACAGCCCCTCCTTCTGGAGGCTGGGCCGAAGGGTTACACTCCAAGCTGCTAGCTCTGGCACTAGGCTCTCAGCTGGAGATGATGTGCTGCTGCTGCTGCTGCTGCTGCTGCTGCTGCTGTCGCCACCACCAGCAACCGCCCCGTGTGCTGGGGCTGTTGCTGCTGCTGCTGCTGCCGCCACCACTTGGTGAGTACAGGTGTGCTGAATCTGGCCCGGGCTGCACACCCTCTCGCCAGACTGGGTATAGGATGTCGGGAGCTGAGGCACAGCCTTCCTGAGTGCTGGGAGCCAGGGTAAAGAGAAGGTACCAGGCCTCCAGGGAGGGGTTAATGTGTGCCAGTGACTTAAGGATGGTAAGTGAGGGGGGCATGAACTGAGCCCTAGTTGCGGGGGAAGGACCCTGAAATTCTGCAGCCCCCATTCTGATAAAGGGAGATGTGCCCCCTCGCTGGACTCCTAGACCAGCTGTGGGATCCCCGAGGTCCTCTGTTAGGATCTGGCCTGGATCTCGACCCCGTCTATCCTGCCCTATTCATCCCAAAACACCTTTCTTTAGGAAGGGGATAGGAAGGCCAAGCAAAGCTTGTGCAGGCTGCAGAGAGACTGGAGATGCCAGGGGCCCCATGGCCCCAGACCCTGCCTCTGCTTCACCGTATCCTGACTCCTTCACTTGGACCTTCCCTACCTGGGGCTGCAGAAGCTGGGAGAAAGAGTGCATCCCTGGGAGTGACACTCCCACCCCCCCACCCCTGCACGTATCATGTTGGGGGCCCTCCTAGAAGGGAGCTGAAGCAGGTGATCCCCAGACATGCCCCTTAATTCCCTGGGGCGCCACTTTCACGCTGAGTCATGTCCCCAGAGCGCACCCAGGTAAAGAAGCCCATGGGGGTTGGGGGGTGGACCCAGCTCATCCAATCAACCATTCTCCATCCCCACCCCCAGACCTTGTATCTCCCCTGGCAGCAGCCACAGCGGGCCCAGGCCGCTGTGACACCATATACCAGGGCTTCGCCGAGTGTCTCATCCGCTTAGGGGACGGCATGGGCCATGGAGGCAAGTTGGAGACCGTCTGCAGGTATGGGCAGGTTACAGGTGCCAGGGACCTTAACCTCTTCCTTCCCATTCCAAAGCCTCCTCACCCCACCTAATTCCCCTAACCCTACGCCCTTAACAGATCTTGGAATGACTTCCACACCTGCGCCTGGAGAGTCCTGTCGGCCTGTCCGGAGGAGGCAGCTGCTGTGTGGGAGTCGCTACAGCAAGAAGCTCGCCGGGCCCCGAACCCAGATAACTTGCATGCTCTGTGCGGTGCCCCTGTGCATGTCCAGGAGCGTGGCGTGGGCCCAGAGACCAACCAGGAGACACTGCGGGCCACAGCACCCGTGCCCACCCCAACGCCCACCCCCGCGCTCTTGGCCACTGCTCTGGCGCTCACCTGCCTCTTGGGGTCTCTGGCCTAGCCAGTGGGTTGGGTAGCTGCGCGTCTGCCTCCAGCCCTGCTCTGGCAGCTACCGTCGGGGCTCTGCGGAGCGTGCTCAGCTTTCATTAAAGGTATTTATATTTGTGCTAAGCTCCTTCTTTTCTTCCTGTGGCCCCTTGGCTGGGGTGGAGGCCTCCAAAAGCTGATCCCCAAGACAGGATGTGCGGGGCTGAAGTCTGCCACAAAGGACTCAATCTTTCTCCTTACAAACACTCATTTCCCAGGGGTGGCGCTGAGCTTTCCATTGCGTTCAGGTCCTGAGATCTGCTAGAAGACACAGCTTTTCTCTGTCCTCCCGGGCTGACACTCCTAGCCCTGCCTGCTCCTCCTATCTTGGTCCATATGGGCTCTGTGAGGTGGTGGTGCATTGTGCTCCCACCACCCAGCCAGTCCACCCCCATCCCCAGGTTCTTCCAGCTTCCAGGCTCCTGACCATCTCACCTCCTCCTTCCTCTGCTGTACTACCACCTTAGCCTTCAAGACACAGCTCAAACTAAGTGCTCTGTCCTCTCCCTCTCTGGTCCATCTGAGGGGAGCCTGTTGCAGAAGGTGGGGAGCTTCTACTGGAGGGGAGTCTAAATTCAGGTTCCTGAGGTGACCTGGAGCTGCAGAAACTGGGCTCACAATGAGGGTTCCTCTGGCCTCTGCTCTTCACAAGCTTGTTCTTTGAGAAGAGGTGTGCAGTGTGGAGTCAAAACAATCCCAGAAGGTGTTCTGGAAGCCTGGAATGAGTCTGTGGTGTGAGGAGCCCCTGCTCATCCTGAAGGAGAGGAAGAGCAAGAACCAGCATGGGCAGAATCCTGAGGGAAGGAGGAGGCCTGAGAGAGGATGAGATCCTCTTTTGACCTGTCTTCTACCACCACCACGAGGACCGTGTTCCAAGCCACCACTCCACAACTTGTGTGGGCACTGCCACAGCCTCTTCACCGGCTTCTACTCTCACTTCCTCCACTTTATTCTCCATTTTCTAAATTGAAAAACTGCTCTTGGTGTTAAGCTCCTTCTCATTGTCTACAAGGCCCTACATAAGCCAGCTCTGCCCACAGTTTATTCAGTCCAGTCCTGCAACTCACCTCCATAGCAGCACAGAGGAGTGACCTACCTCCCCAAGTAGGTCCTTGGAGTCAGGGGAGCCTTCAGAGAAGGAGAGTGGTATGGTAGGGGGTGATAGAGGTAAGGATGAGAAACTTATAAGTGGTGGAGGAGAAGTGGGGCTGAGTTGGAAATGGCTTTACAAGAGGGGCCCAAAGGAATCAGTTGGGAGGGAGGGTGGGGCGGGAGTCCAATAGCTAGGCAGGCCAGGTTGACACTACAGCTCATGCTGGGAAGCTGCTGCCCATAAGACAGAATGAGGCCTGATAGGACCCTTGCTTAGGCTCCAGAGGCCTCCACCCACATGTGTAGGAGCCCTGCTTCATCCATGCTTCCCAAATACCCTCCCATTCTGGTTAGCTCAGATGCCTCAGTTAACTCCTGTTCTACCCTATCTTTGCTCCTGTGCTTCCTTCACTTGTACTTTTATCCCCACTTCTCTCTGCCAATCAGTGATTACTCATCTTCTCACATCACTGAAAGAGAAAATTCAGGAAAAAACCCTCCTAGACCTGCCCCCCTTTGACCAGCAGAATTTTCCAGAAGGAAAGGCAAGCCTTTTATTCCTCTGGGTCTTTGTACATCTATTCGCTGTGCTCAGAGTACCCTTCCTTAATTCCTCCTGGTGAGCTCCTACTTCTTGTTCAGTGTCACCTCCTCCAGGAAATATTCCCTAACCTGACTCCAAGCTGAATCAGAAGCCTCCTACAGGTCCCACAGCTCCTGGGCTCCTTCTGTCTCAATACTGATAGCACTGGCTTGTTACTTTCTGGGTCTGAGTCAGAATTCCCCACTGTGAACTCTCTAAAGGGCCTCTTTGTGTCTCTAGTACCCAACCTTGGGCTGGGTATAAAGAGTACACTTGTGGGAGTGTGTGGAATGAAAGACGGAATCTCTAAATCAAGCATAGGAAGTGTTACAGTCAGCAAGAGCATGGACTGAGAATGACCCCAGTGTAGAGGATGCATCATCTAGGGGCATCCCCCTTACCCTGGGCATACTGTTGGGAAGGATGGTGCTGGGGTTCCAGACCCACAAAGTCTTCTCAGAGCCACTCTTGGTAGCTGCTCCTGGTGGCCTGCTTCCAGGAGCAGGGGCCCAACTGCTCTGGCCAGCCATCAGGGGGATTACCATCCGCCTGCTGTGACCTACTTCCCTCTGGTTTTTGCTCCCTAAATCCTTGCTCTTCCCCAGAATTGAATGACCTGGAGTGTGTGCATAGGGGTGGGGGTGGGGACAGAATCTGCTCTCTGATCAGGGGCTTAAGAGCTTTGTGTGTTTTATCCCAGAGCTGGAGGAGAGGGGTGGGCTGATAGCCAAACTGACTGGGCCCTGGACACAGCTGCTGAGGCCAGAGCATCATGGTGTTTCTCACATTTGCGGCTCTGAGGACACAGAATAGCTTTAATTAATTAATTAATTAATTTTTTGAGAAAGATTAGCCCTGAGCTAACGTCTGCCGCCAATCCTCCCCTTTTTGCTGAGGAAGACTGGCCCTAAGCTAACATCCGTGCTCACCTTCCTCTACTTTATATGTGGGACACTTGCCACAGCATGGCTTGCCAAGCAGTGCCGTGTCCACACCCAGGATCCAAAGTGGTGAACGCCAGGCCACCAAAGTGGAAGGTGCGAACTTAACCGCTGCGCCATTGGGCTGGGCTGGCCCACAGAATAGCTTTTTTCCCCCCTGCTTTTTCTCCCCAAATCCCCCCAGTACATAGTTGTATATATTTTGTTTTAGTTGTGGGTCCTTCTAGTTGTGGCATGTGGGACGCTGCCACAGCATGGCCTGACGAATGGTGCCATGTTCATGCCCAGAATCTGAACCAGCGAAATCCTGGGCCGCCAAAGCAGAGCACGAGAACTTAACCACTTGAACTTAACCACTCAGCCACAGGGCCGGCCCCCAGAATAGCTTATTGTTCAGGGCAGAGCCTGGGGGCTGTATGTCCTGAGCCCAGTCCCCTCTGCATCAACATATCTCTTCACCTCAGGGCCTCATGTTCTTCACCAGAGCAGAGACCAACACTTGCCCCTAGCAAGGGCTCGATAAATATTTGCTAAATTAATTTGCTGAATGTCTGTAAAATGGGAACGTTGTGTGGATTTCTAAGCCCCAGCCACCCTGGAATTCTATATTACTTTTAACCCCCACAACAACTCTGTGGGTTCAGGATTATAATCCCCATTATACAAATAAGAAAAATGAAGCTTAAAGAGGGGAGTTCACATATCTGTGGAAATGTCAGAGCTGGCATGTGATCCCAAGTTTGTTTGGCCCCAAAGTCCATGCCGTTAATCATCACACTGGACTTTTGGAAGCTATTTTTAAAATTTTTCCTTTTTCAATAAAATTTTTTTTTTTCTGCTTTATCTCCCCAAACCCCCCCTGTACACAGTTGTATATCTTAGTTGCAGGTCCTACTAGTTGTGAGATGTGGGATGCCACCTCAACGTGGCCTGATGAGCAGTGCCATGTCTGCGCCCAGGATCCGAATCCTGGGCCGCCGCAGCAGAGCGCGCGAACTTAACCACTCGGCCATGGAGCCGGCCCCTCAATAAAAATTTTTTTTAAAGATTTTATTTTTTTATTTTTCCTTCTTCTCCCCAAAGCGCCCCCCGTACATCGTTTCGTATTTTATTTGTGGGTCCTTCTAGTTGTGGCATGTGGGACGCCGCCTCAGCATGGCCTGATGAGTGGTGCCATCTACACGCCCAAGATCGGAACCGGCAAAACCCTGGGCCGCTGAAGCGGAGCACACGAACTTAACTACTTGGCCACCGGGCTGGCCCCTCAATTAAATTTTTAATGATTCCCTAGTAAATAAAAGACAAATGATGTTTTATTGGTGTTAACTTATTTTTAGGTTTATAGTATAACATTAGCTTATACAAAGACAGTCCCATGTTTGATGTAACTGCTTAATAAAGATTTGTTGAATAAATGAACAAATGAGGAAGATGGATGGAGGTTACAATCCCTTTATTACCTGTGGCATCTATTTTTTTCCCCTGCAATTTGGGTTGATTTTAACTAATGAGATAATTCTGATCCCATAGAGAAGTCATTGTGAACGGTATCAATTTGTTTTGTTTTGTTTTTCACGAAGATTGGCCTGAGCTAACTAACATCTGCCGCCAATCTTCCTCTTTTTGTGGAGGAAGACTGGCCCTGAGCTAACATCCGTGCCCATCTTCCTCTACGTTATATGTGGGACTCCTGCCACAGAATGGCTTGCCAATCAGTGCCATGTCTGTAGCCGGGATCCAAACTGGCGAACCTCAGGCCACTGAAGCGGAAGGTGCGAACTTAACCACTGCACCACCCGGCTGGCCCAATTTTTTTAAAAAAATATTTTATTTCCTTCTTCTCCCCAAAGCCCCTCAGTACATAGTTGTATATTCTAGTCGTAGTTCCTTCTAGTTGTTGATGTGGGATGCCGCTTCAGCATGGCTTGAGGAGAGGTGCTAGGTCCGCGCCCTGGATCCAAACCAGCGAAACCATGGGCAGCGGAAACGGAGCACGGGAACTTAACCACTCCGCCACTGGGCTGGCCCCGTCGATCTTTTTTGTTTTTAAATCCACTTGCTTTGCAGTACCAGATACACTTAAATTCAATAACAACAAAAAAAATTAAAACAAACAGAAAAACCGTTACTCTGAAGTTGGCCCAAGACTGGCTTCACCAACCCTCAAATTAACATTTGCAACTCCTCTGTGATGGAGGGCAAATTTAACACATCAGAGTGTATGAATTATTTTAATTGCAGTTTTCTAAAACAGATTTGCTAATGAAATTCAAATCGATCTTTTGAGGAGTTTCAGAGGCACTTCCAGAAACCCCCGTTGAAACGCAATGCGTCCCCAACCTCATACGACAAAGCGCCCTCTCCCCTAACCAAAACTTAAGACTTTCTTCCGACTTCCCGCGGTCCCCCCTTTTTTCAGCACAGCTCCCTGCCGCTGAGCACTATGCGGCTACTTTGAGCCACAGATAGACTCACCCCCGCAGAGAGAGAGCCCTTCTCCTCCCGAAGGCGTTGATTGGCAGGCCACGAGAGGAGCGCCGCCAATCGCGTAGCCTGACCTTCCCGGGGGTCCGCCCCCGTCTCACCTCTTAGGAGGCCCGGGTTTGTTTTGGCGTCAAGCGCGCGCTGTGATGACGTCGGGGCCCGGACGCTTGAGGATGGCGGCGGCGGCGGCGGCTGCTGTGGCCGCGGCCCGGAGAGGGTCAGCGCAGCCGCGGAGACGCCGAAGAGCCCGCCGCCCCCGCGAGGTGAGGCGGCCCGGCCCAGGGCGACGGCCTGACGGGCGGGAGGGGCTGACGAGCTGCGGCCACGGTCGCTTCGTGGCACACCGGGCCTGTCCTTGCCCAGCGCAGAGCCCTAGGCCCGTGCCCGGTGTGCCACGGCCTACGGGGCTGAGGAGCAGGCCAAGCGATGTCTGCTTAGGGACCCCAGTGTCTGAGGCTGGACTGGCCTCGAAACGTGCTGCTGCGCTGGGTAGCCCGTCTTTGGGGTCGTGTGGGCCTGGTGGACGTGGTCAGCTTCCCTGCCTGCTGTTTAGCCAGCCGGCATCGGTCAGGGTGTACTAACCTGGTTGTCCTCACTGCCTTCTCGAGTCCAGCACCTACTCCACACTCCTCCTTCTCAGCTGAATGCCAGAGGCCAGCGGGGCAGCTGGTCGCTTCCTTGTTTAGGCTGGGAAAAAGGAGGCCTGAGTCCAGCCGGGTTGTCTGCTCCGCAAGCCAGTCATCCCTCTGCTTACAAGGGGAAGCCCAACTCCCCACACTCACTCCCCCTAAATGAAGTTGCCGAAGAGAGAATTCCCACCTGAAAATCTGAATAAGTCCTTCACTGCCTAAAACCGGCTCCTTGGTGCCTATAGGATAAAGGCCAAACTTCTTAGGAAGGCATTCAGGGCTCTTCATAATCTGGTAGGGGCCAAACCCTGAGGTTAACACTTGGGCACTTCTGCCTTCTGTGTACATAGTTTGTTGTTGGGGCGTGAACCTGCTGTTAGCTCTGTGGTTTAATAACCTTGTGCTTTAGATATAAAATTTTCTTATTTTGTAATATTCTTCTTTCCCGCCACCCCCACCTCCACACACCAGTATGGAAA